AAACAATAGCACTCGCATTGCCCTGAACCTCTGCTAACGTGGACCGCAGGGATAAAGCCGGCCTGTAATCTGTCTAAAGCTGCAGATATTGACAATGACTCAAAAACAGAAACAGATCCCCCCTTACAAACACCTTATTGTTTTCAGCGCCGTGTCAATAGCTTTGAGCCCAAACAATCGCCGTATGTCTTGAGTCTGGGATCTGCAATAGTCTCACATTGTCCATCAATAGAGCTCTGGCAGCACAGGCTCACACACACACACACACACACTAAAAGATTGACGGCTGCGTGTCAGCGAGAGCAAGAAGCACTCACTGACCACTAACCGCGTTAACATGAGCTTACACAAACATGCAGATGTTTCTGGTCTCACATTAGGGGATTAAGGACAGGAGGAGTGAGAAGCAGGTCTTAATGGAAGCCCACACACACAAAACGCAGCAGTAGCCTGACCAAAGAGTGACATTTTAAATTCCTTGGTCTCATCCAGCAACTTCAATTGAATTTTCAGACCCCCCTTCCACTCATTGTTTATGTGTAAGTCTGTGTGTGTATGTTTGTGTGTATGTTTGTGCCAGTGTGCGTTCACTCCTCCAGTCACCCCAGGGGGCTTTGCGCTGTCACTTCCTGTTTGTTGACATGCATGTCGTTGTGGCTACGCTCTGGGCACGCTCCACAGTGCCGCTGCCCTCTGCGCCATGTGCGTGCGTGTGTCCATGTGTGCACAGGAGCGGGTGCGTGCACGTCATTTCTCGCCGGCCCATTGAGCAGCCTTTGAGTGACGCGGGCTGGCCTTGTAATGGAACTCGATTCAGTCCGCAAATAAAGAGGCTTTTGAACCAGTGGTCCGAATATGGCAGGACTCAAACACACGCACACATACACAAAATGAAGGATACAGAAATGTGTGCACACTGCCTGTGGTGCACAGGCTGGGGGAGTTTAGCTAGTGGTGAGAGGGGGGGGTTCACGCTTGGCTGCGCTTCCCTCCACCTCTTTTCCAGGAGCTACAGTGCAGCTAATTGAAGAGAAATGAGCAAGAAGGAGCTGATCTGATTTTAGCTAGCTGGTCAACACTTTCAATGACTCATGACTGATCTCCTGGTGAAATACCAAAAAAAGCAACTGCAGCACCACACCCAGTCCACACAATGTGCACATAATGAAATAAATTCATCTTTTATTTGAATGGTGTACTGAAATACATACTGAAAAAAATAACAGAAATTAAACCTTTTATTTGAATGCTTTTTAGCTAGTAATAAATAATACACGCAAAGAAATAGAAGTTAAAAATAAAGGTTACATTTTTTGTGTAATATGTTTGTTTTCTTTTGGTCTGATATGTTGTCATGTCACGTTACTCAAAGATCCATCATATCATATTTGGAAATCTGGAAATTCAGAGTTAATTAGCAGACAATGTTTCCAGCATACCATCCTCCACCATGCTTTACAGGAGGAGCTTTTATTTAAAGCTCTAAAGACCAATTATACTTCTGGCGCATAGCCTCTGCAACCATCAAATCTGTGTCTGTGCACCTCAAAAAAATCCTGACTACGCGTCGGACGGTCGCAAACCTGCACAGACCTCAAGAGACAAAAAGCAGCTGTGATTGGTCCTTAGTATGCCTTTCCAGCTGTCTGTGGGGTCGTCTTTCTCGATTCGGTGCCGGGGTGCACCATTTTTAATAACCGAGGATAATAACAATGGATAACCTCGACGAAAGGTTGGTCGAGGAGGTTCGGAAGTATAACCACTTGTAGGATGCCTCAAACATGTTGTTTTGGAAAATAAACACTCCTGCCGGCGCCGCCGAAGAAGTTCTTGTTACCATCCCCCGAAGTTCTCGAATAGGCTCCCCCTTGTTCTTTGGCGGGAAACTGCTGTGCATCCGTAGAAATTCCAGACCAACGTTGCAGAAGCACACCAGCAAAACTGGTTTGCGACCCGACGCAAGCGACATTTGATGTGTGTGGTTGCACAAGTATAATCTTCCCTTAAGTTTGAGTCCTCCCGCAAAATTTGCCCGCCTTCCATGTCCACTATGCTAATGCTACTGCTAACCTTTGCTTGACATTAACAAACATTTAAATCAACTGCTTAGAATAAAGCACCAGCCACATAAATGTTAAAAAGCAGGAATGATGTTCAACTTTGTTTCACCTCTTTTTTGTTTTGTTTTTTTTTGGCTTGAATTTGAGAAATGTAACTCTTAAGGAAAAAGTCTTTTATGAGCTTTATAATGGTTCTACTTAGCTTGTTAGCATCCTAACCATAAGTAAATATTTATATATTTAGGACCTGTCCAAATTTCTAATACAATTATTTGTATACTTTATCATATTTTTAGTAAAGGTGATACTTCTGTTCTCCACATTCCTGATGTTCTGTGGATGTATAACTTTTGAAAAATGACCATGTTGCTTGACTGTACTGCAGTCATAATAGACACATACTTCCAGGCTTGGACTGGTAATCTGTGATACTGGGCATTTGTCCAGTGGGCCGGTCCTAATTGCATGGGAGGGCCGGCCCTCCTTAAATCATAACGGTGACAACCTGTGACAGTAAACAACTCAAGGAGCTCAAGAAGTAATACAATGTTAACTACCTAAATGGTGCATATGCAGTCTATATAGACCTTCCCTGTCATGCATATCCTTGTGACGGCATATGGTGTGATTTTCTTTTTCTTCAAACTGTAAAATCCTTGCAACAAACTAAATTATAATAAAACCAAAGTCCTTTTTTTAAACCAAACTATGATGTTCCTCTTATATTTGGCGAATTTATATTTGAATATTTTGCAAAAAACATGTTGCGGTGCATGATGGGGTTTTGCATCTAAAGGCTAACCTCTCCCGTCTTACGTGCATTGTTGCCAGGTTAGGATGTTTCCCAATCTGGCAGTTTAGGATGACCGTGTGTGGGTAAAAAAAAAATTTCTTTTGATTTATGGCCTAAGAGATCAATAGATTTTGGTCTAAATTGGGCGAGATTTTGTATATCCAGGCGGTTTATGAAATTTTTTTGGGCTGGAAAACATGAGTCAGTGAAATCTGGCAGCCCTGCTGGACGTTACGCAGCAGCAGACACTGTCGCATCTGTGTTAATAACCAAAGCCAGTAAAACCGCATCATAGAAGTCTTGGTGATGCTTGAAGATAGATCGGTTAATCCACAATTTGTATTCGTATATTCGTTTTACATTTGGGAATTTTTGTTTTTCGGAGTGGCGTTCATAAGTGGGCCGGTGTAGATGGAAAAATGCCAGGGCCGAAAATCGTTCCCATTCAAAGCCTGCATACCTCTGTGTTGCTACATATTTATACGTCCTATTTATTCTGGATTACTATTTAAAGGTTCCTAGAGATTCTGTTTTCCTTGGGAAAATAAATAAATTAACTATTTTGCCTCACTGATGGTAATATGATATAGAAATGATATAATGGTATAAATAATTGCAGGTTTCTTGTTTAGTTATGCTTTCCTTGTAAAAAAAAAAAAAAAAAAACATGACCCACTCAGGTCCACAAGATCACTTAGAAAAAAAAAGGTTGTACAACACAGAAACATAAAAAAAACGTTTTCTTCCGGCATAAACTCAGTTTCACAGTTCTGTCTTCTTCAAGTGCAAAGTCTCAAGGTGTTTATCTGAGCTAGCCAAAGTATGTTACTTATTTTGATTCTTCCTTGAGAAAATAATTCACTTTCATGGAACGGCTAGTGTCTTTTATTAAGAAGTTACAGCAGGAATCCAACAAAAGCTATTGAAAAGAGAGAAAAGAAAAGTTTTTCTTTTATGCAGCAGTTGTGTTAATAGAGTGTTTGTTGTCGCTGCCTTATGACTGACAGTCAGAGGTAGATTCCTCCCCAGAAATATGTCTTTGTGTTTCTTCCTAGAGATTAATCTCTTTATTTAAGATAGCAAAGGAGAGCAGGAGGCAGCGTGGCTGTCAGGAGAGACAGGAAGAGGTGCACGCAGAAAGAAAGCATGATGAAGAGAAGAAATAGCGGTGACAGCATCTCTTCCTTGTCCATTTGCATAAAGCAGCATTTGTTTGACGCCGGTGGCCAGCAGCCAAGCGCCAACAGAAGGACGGAAGTTAAAGTAAAAAAAATAAAAGAGAAAAGACGATGATCTTCATCCAGAAAATGATTCCACAAGAAATAAATAACAATTATAACTATTCAAAAAAAGAAACAACACATGAGTGACTTCTCTCTAAACTAAGCATTCTGTTGCTCCTCTGAGGGAGGAATAACAATTCGTGAGAAGACAGCGTCTGGGAGATTTGTATTAGAGCACATGAAAGCAGCTGAGCTTTGCAGAATGAGTTTGATTGAGACAGAAAGGAGGGTTGTGGGAATACTGAAGCCTCTTCCAAGATGTAATAATTCTAGTGTGTCTGTTGACTTGGAAAAACTTGATTTACCAACAGAACCATAATGCCTTAAATTCATTAGAAACTAATGGAACACAAAATTAAGATGAAGAAAGCAGGGTTTTGTTTCCCATAAAAGTTTATTGAATTGATAAATCTTTATCGAACAATATTACAATTGTCGTTAGTACAATAACAGACCCAGTTTCCTTGTATTATCTTTTTTTTTTTCCACCTTATCCCAGAGCCGGGCTCTCCAGCGTGACCTCGATAGCCAGAATGTTTGCCTTTCTCCCACGATGCACCTGGAGGGGATATGCCCATCTCTGGGCCTGTCAGAGAGGCTGTTAGCGTTTCTCCCATGGGGTGAGGGAGGGGGGGTGACAGTAGAAATGTCCCTCTCTATCTCCCTCTGTCACACAAACAGAGACCGGGCCACTAATGGCCTCCTCTTCTAGAGCTTTTTAGTTGCCTTCTTCCTTTTTTTGTGTGTGCTCTTAAGTATTCATTTATTCATGTCATCCTTTTCTTTCCTCCCCTCCCCTCTTTTCACCTCGATCGTCTTCCTTCTTACTGTCCACCCCCCACCCCTGTGTCTCTGACCTCGCAGCAGTTGTATGCAGCTCAGCTGGCGGCCATGCAGGTTTCCCCGGGAGCGAAGCAGCACAGTGGCAGCCTCGCGCCACAATCCAACCTGGGCGCACACTCCCCACCCACCAACTCGCATCCACAGGGGGACAAGAACCGCAATTCGCCATCCTCACACAAGAACAAGGTAAGAAGAGGAAAATCATAAAAAGGCCTTGTGTTTGCGCTTGTGAATGTGCATGTTTCTGTCCTCAAACACCGAACACAAATCCATCTTTAATCATATATGGGAGGGGGTGTGGCCTAACAGGTACAGTAGTCAATCAGAAGGGTGTGTTTTGGTATATATTAATCAAAACACATCATCTTCATAGTAAAACACAGTGGAGATGGCAGCATTATGCTGTGTTGATGGGAGCTGTATACAATTGTGATAACTAAAATAAAATCTGGTAAATTGTGCATAAAACCAACTTTAAGTATAAATTAAACATTTATATCAGTGTTCCTAAGCACTTATTACCACCATCATTTTTAGAAAAAAAATGTTTCTATTCCAGAAATGAATAAAAGTTTGAATCTATGATCCATTACTAAAAGGATTTTTGAACTAAAATAGTTTCATGGTGTCTCATGACTATGAATGATTAGTAAACACATTAGTTCCAGTCTCCCAGTCCACTTTCTCCTCAAATCCAAGAGTTTACTTTCTTTAAAAACATTTGCCTCGGATAAACTTGCTCCCCGACAATTCTCAGCCACTTGGTGTCTGAAAATCAAACAGAGTAACTTTATCACCGATTCCCAGCTGGTCTCTCATTGCGCCTCCATTTGGGGATCTGTTGGAGTTTGTGTCGTTTTCTTGGCTGGCTGCCTCATAGGTGTGATGAGAGTGAAGCTTCGTGTCCATCCAGCTGGAATTCTATGAATATCTGGTCGTCCTTCTGCACAATCACACAACCTCACTCCCCAGTGTTCACATGACCTCTGGTCAATCAGGCAAACAGACACAAGGACACACATAGAAGAAATAAAACATTTCACATTGTCCTTCACTTTTTATCCTATCCATCTGGTTTTCAGATTCCTGATCACTCCCATTGTCTTGTTTCTTAATAACAGCTCATAGTTCCTGATTTTGTTCCCTACAACCTTGACTGTACACTCCTCTATATCTCCATCACACACAGCACCATCATACCCTGCTGTCCCACACACTTATTACCATATATATAGAGTCAGGCTGACAGCAAGAGTCCTGGCCTGTGGTGTAGGAGGACGGGGGGAGTCGTAATGGTCTCCCCTGTCCAGCAGGAGTGGCTGACTGTTGAGTTGACCAGTATGGACTTTGACAGTTTCCACAAAACTAAAATTTGCTAACAGACCATAAAGTCTATTTACGAGACATTCTGATTTGTTTTTTTTTCCCCCACTCATTTTAACCCCCTCACTGCTTCCTCAAGAAACTTTTTCTCTTTGTCATTCTCTCTTTAGTCAAGTGACATGTATATTTCATTGGTGTCCTCCCCATGTGGGCTCTATGTCAGGTCTCCAGTCATTTAGAAACTCAATGCCTTGCTATGCTCACAGCTGTTTGGACTCAGGCACACACCGCTTAAGTGCTTTACCCTCGGGTGAGACACAGACACATACGCACACTATAAAATGCACTGGTCCAGGTGTGGACCACGACACCAGCACATGCACACCCTCAGTGCTCCAATCACTGCAGGCTGCATAGCGCTTTCTTATCCTCGAGAGGATCTCGAGATGCAGGCATGCACGCTCACACAATAGTTTACCATATGCAGCCCTTCATGAACATGAAACAGATTCACACAGTGAGCCAAAGCACACGTCAAGTGTTGTAGTTGATCAGTTTAGTCTTTGAATTGACAGCTGCTGTTTTTTTCAACTTAATGCAAACTTTTTTGTATTATCATCCTCAAATTAGAGGAAAACCCAAAACAGAAGACAGACACAGTAGCCCCATTTAAACTACCCTATTGAAACCGTGGCGATAACGGTCAGAGGACGGTAACCAAGATAACTGTTGAGTGTAAATGGAACGCAACTGAACTGGACCGTGCAAGACACAACCGAGCCGCGCTAAATCTAGTAGTTCAACAGCAGGGCTCAGCATGGTTCGGTTGTGGCACAGTTCTCTGATAACAAAGAGCGCATGAGCAGGCGTCATCTCCTATTTACAGTCAGCTGACTCATTCTGCTGGTTGTCCGTCATCCCCAGCTTTGTAAATGACTTATTAACAATAAATGGCATTAAAAGAGCGTGGTGCGACCTGAGATTACGCCAAGACTGACACTCTCATTGAAATTTGGGTGGAGGACGATAACCAGGTACATAGGTTCCTAAATGTTATGGGCACTGCCATTTTTGTTTGCATAAATCTCGCCCTGAGAGCTGTAGTACTGTTGATCACCCATAGGAGGCGAGGAAACGTGCTGAAAGCATGTGTTTTTACTCTAACATCACAAAATAACCAAAGATTGTACTTTAAGGTGCTGTAGATGTTGGAGGCTGTTGTAATGCCGTCTTTCTTCACCGTCCACCTAACATACCAAGGCTGTTCACCCTCATTCACATTACCATATTATTTAATCAAGCTTGACACTGTGCTGTTCTAAGAAAAACTAAGCCAGTTAAAAAAACAACCGATCGATTCTCCCGTATACAAATTAAATGAGCATGCATTAAGCACTGCATATCCAATTTAGATTCATGTCTTTTTGTGTCTTCAACTTTGCTTTCTAATAAAGTTTTGATATGACAGTATAATTAATATGAATAGACACTTATTGCTGCAAGGAATAGGAAAGCGGAGGAAAGAAGCGGATGACGAAGAAGTTGGATTTAAGGGTCTTGACACGGCCAATGTAGCACACCTCGGCACGAACACTCTGCTTTAGACCTGACAGGGATAAACGGTGGTGGCACAGCACATGTCGTTTTAATTGAACCGTCAGCACCGGCAATAAGATGCAGAACACTGATGTCACTCGCACATGCCGGCATCCGCAGAAGCAGCCCACACACACAAACGCACGCACATAGATTATCTCTCCCCTTCTGCTTCCTCTCCATCTCCGTGTCCCTCTGGCTCTCGCTGTCACTCTGCATGTTTTCTGTCGCAAAGCTGGAGACTGTTCCATCAGCCAAGAGAGACACAAAAGCAATTGTATTAATTGAAGATTCAGAGCCTTTAGAGTCCAACCACACACACACACACACACACACACTTTTATGAGGTTTAGAGCTTGTTGAACAATGTCTGTCTCACTCTCTTACACACACAGAAACACACACACACATCAAGTCTGTCCAAGCGTCTCAGCTCCACTCTATAAACTAATTCCTCCACACTGGCATAATGCAGGTTGGCCACCTTCCCACTACAGGATTTGGCTTGGCGCAAAGAGGAAACTCCCCCATCCACTGTACAAGAGGAAGAGGCATTATCTATTTGTAATAAATATTCAAATGCCTTCGCAGCCAAAGCCCGCCATAATATGGGTCAGGATTGAGAAGATCCCGCTCAGTTTTCTCTTTTCTCTCCTCTTCTTCTTCGGCCCATTGTCTCGCTGAAGGCATCTTTGGGGGTCCTCCGTCTATTTAGAAAGACCTCCCTAATGAAGGACAATCCGGTTAGGACTCATTGCACGCACACACACACACACAATGAGGATGCCTCACAACTACTAGCGTACATGTGCACACACACATTGCAAGGGCTTAATTGGAAGGGCTTAATTGAGTTGTGAGGGGCTCATAAGGCTTAGTGTGACTCAAGGAGAGGGAATCAGGGAAAGTCGCCCTTAATGAGTGAATATACAACACACACACAATACTTTCTCTTTTTGTTGAATCCTACTATATCCTTATTTCTATACTGCCTAAGCTGCAATTAGACTAATGACCAGAAAATACAAATAATGTCGTTTCCACATCAGGTTAAAGCCTACAATAGAACCACACCTGCAATTCTGAAAGTTATCTCTAATTATGTTAAATAACAGATACCCTTTAAATACACCCTGACTGTATTTCTGAGCCATTATTTGTACACTATGCCAGTTTGTCCTTTACTGCCCCCATCGTCATCATTGTCCTATTTTTGCATCAGGGTTTTTAATTGAGGTGTTTTAATCAAACAGAGTGGTTTTTGTACATCTGCTCTGTCTCTGATCTAATTCCCCGCTTCCTGTCATGTGACGCTCCTAGGTTGCCCCTGATTGGATTAGGTCATCAGCAGGGGTCATGTTGCTATGACGGTTTACCAGATACCATGTGGTGGTCCACATGTCGATGCACCTGAAGGCTGCAGAGATTTAGACCTGGATGCATCTTTTCATGTCCTGTCAAATTTTCCACGTTTTATTTTGTAACAAAAAAAAAAATCTGTCTTATAAGAGAGCACATTATTGTAAACCGTAAAGAAATGTATAAATTTTTCAGTCTTTTAACTAATAATCGACCAGCTTTTTTCTTCTTCTTTCATTTTTAACATCGGCTTTCTTTTGGACAGCCCAGTTCTGTGAAAAAGATCTTGCTAAGAGATTCTTTCGCTTAAATTGCAGCTCCTCCAGAGTTACCACAACAATTTTGGCTGCTTATCTGATAAATGCTTTGATTCCCTGGCCTGCTGTGTCCTATATTGTGAGATAAACAGAAAGTGTTTTGAAGCTAACTCTTCTTTAAACTTCCCCTCACCTTCATAATTGTTCAATAATGTTCTCAATCAAATCTTTAAGTTATTCCCCGAACATCCACAGTGAAATAACATCCACAGTGACTTATTATCAAGATGACTACTAAAGAAAGCAAAGCAAGCTAATCACTGATGCACACCACAGTTTGTTATATTTTTGGATCAAAATAGTTTTGTGCTACTTTGTCTTTTCCATTAAATCCCAAATGAAATACTGCTTTTTTGTAAAAAATGTGGAAAAGTTGAACAGGTGTGAAAACTTTTGCAGGGCATCAATGTCAGTGTGCTGTTTGACATATAAATAAAAACTGCTGCAACACAATCCACAATAATTGCTTGCAGCAGTCGCACGTGTGCGTTAGAGTTTGTGGTATGAACTTTTGTTTTTTTTGGACCTTTTGGAGGTTTGCGTTTCTGATGAACCAGGAGTGATTTGAAGTGACAGACTGTCCTCTGCTCTGCTGGCTGTTTGATGCATTGAGACGGAGCCGTATCTTTGCACTCTCACACCTTTAAAGGATGTGTTATTCTTTGTGAAAGACAGGAGGCGTTAACTATATTTGTTCATGGTATCAAGGTGTTCCTCTCCCTTGAGTATGTGTTGCTGCTTGCCATATGATTTCTGTATGAGGCGGCATTGAAATGCATGCTTTTTTGCAGCCTGCATGTGGGTTGTGCACGTGCATGTATTGTGTTCTCCCTGTTTTGGGGAATGGCTGTGCTGTTAGAAGTGGTTGGCCGTTTTGCATGTAAATGTCAGTGGTTTGCACCCAGAGGTTTTTGTATGTTATTCTTTGCTTATCATGTGTTAAATAAAGACGGGCAGTGGCATGCACCCAGTCACCTTCTCATCCCGCCAGCTATTCCTCAGATTGCTGTGCATGGGCTTCAGTTGAATTAGCACGTGGTCTTGATCAGGGAGACGCGAGGGCATCCCCCTCGACCTCCCGCCTCCAAATTTCTACGCTGGACACAGCAGGCGAATCTGTGCTGTTTTGGTTTTTGCAGGACAGTGAGGGTGCACAGCCACTGAACCTGTCGGCCAAGCCTAAGGCATCCGAGAGCAAGTCACCCAACTCCCCCCCAACTTCCCCACAGGTTCCCGCTGCTGCTGCCGCCACCACCAAGCTGGGTCCCGCTGGCTCCCTGAAGCACAGTGCAGTGCCCTCCAGCATCGGAGCGCCGCCGACCAGAGTCAGCTCAATAGGTAAGCAGATTTTATGTACCTTTACAGTAGCAGAGCAAAGAAGATGTATGAAATTAAATATGAAATACTTCAACAAAGATTGCACTTAATTCCAAGTAAAGGAATTTATTAAAAAACACAACATAATAGATAGTATATAAACTTAGAACAGCAGTAAGGATTAGTTAAAAATAGTTAACCAAGCCACACACTCAACATCTTTTCTCAGGGTAGATTTAGATTAGACCTATAAACTATGCTAAAAATAAATTTTTTAGGTAACATGATATTACAACTGATTCTTATTATTATTTTATTATTATTCATGTTAGTCAAAATGAACAGTTAAAGAAATACAGTGGCTCAATTATAGCTCATACAAGCTTACTGTACCTAAACGTACACCCTAACCCCTAAATCCCTCAATCACTATAGACAGTGGTGACTATATAGTGAACTTTATAGTGAACTCAGTTAACTTACTGTTCGGACAGACGATCACTGCTTTTTGCTCCCCGTTGGACACATAACTCCTCCTCAACCTCACGGTGCCAGCGCCATCTTTGTTATTAGTCGCCGCTGTCGATTAGTGACAGCCTATGGCGACAGCAGTCCGTCGTGAGAGCAAATCCCATAATGCTTTGCGAGGATAGCTCTCCGCAAAGAATTCTGCCTATATCTGCCTCTTCTGAAGCATTTCTTTTCTTCTCATACACTTCATAGAAACTTTTTCTCTTACGACCCTCATCCATTTTCAAAGCACCACAGTGAGAGAAATAGGCTTCAATGACTGTCTGAAGACTTAGATCACCACATATATACGCCTAAAAGTGCGAATCCGCAGAAAAAGATAGCTTACGGGACGAGCACGTAGGACGGCCTTACGTAAACATGTCACCAGAATGATTGACAATTAGGAGGACCACTTATTTAAGTGATCCACCCAGAAAAAGAACATCCTTCACTATACCTTTAAGTATGTCGATCCTTAGTCACTGAAAGTTTGAAAAGGGAAAACAGAGCATCTTTCTTTTGCACCAAATTAACCTTTCTGTTATCTGATGTTTTATTTTTTTTTTTACTTTTTTGTTTTTATAGCTTTTTGCTTCAATTGGTTGCAGTTTTTCCACTAAATAGTTGCAGTTTTTGTGTATTTCATGTGATAAACATTTTTTTTTTCACTTATCTCTGGACAGGCTTGGAAATAGAGCAGTTCCAGTAACAAGTGAATTTCTCCGTCTTTTTCTAAACAAAAAGCCAACATTTCTACTGCAGAAAAATACTTTCATCTAAAAAAATGTTTCTCTTTAAAACTTTAACCTCTTTAAATACAAGTGTCTGCAGAATGTGGCGTTTATCTCACCGTACTATGCTGCCCTCAACGTAATCTTCCCCAGCCATATGCACGCATAAAGAAAATATGACATAAATGAATCACTATTTTCTACTCTTAATCCATTTTTCATGCAACACTGATAGTTCAAATATTACACATATGTAAGAGGCTATAATTAGTGTTTGTGTTTTTTTCTCCATGCTGCTGTTTCCCTGCAGGCGGCTTCATTGTTATGTGTTTATTAGTGACTAAAACAGACAGAGAGAGACAGAGGACTGAGGAGAAGGAGGGAATTGGGGAGAGAGAGATGAGGATTAGTGTTTCCTTTTTTTTCCAGAGCAATGAAGTGGGGGGGAATAATAAAGAGAGGAGTGCATGACAGACAGAAGGTATCACCAATGAGATTAGACAAGCCTCTTACATGAGCCAGGACAGCGCAAACACCCAGCATTAACCATACAATACCAGCACACACACTCAGTGCTTACTCAAACTCACACAAAAGCTCACGCTCACACACACACACACACACTCCAACCTCCTCCTCATACGCAATAGGCAGGCAGTTTTTTTTTTGTCTTTTTTTTTTTCCCTGACTTTCTGGCTAATCTCACTGTTTTTCAACAAATCGGCGGATTTAATATCAGATTAGTGGATTTTCAGTCCCAGATGTTTTTTGTTGGGAAAAATGGATTACAGTGTTTTAAGTTTGTGTGTGATCCATGCTGAATGTATTTGCGCTGGGCAGGCTAGATCCCTGATACGCTGGATCTCATTGTTCCATCTGTTACCACTGAGTTTTAGCCTGGCCACAAGCTCCTACTGTATTACATTAGGAGTCATAGTGGACAGCGGGGGCAGACCAACTGGAAAGGGGTCCAGTGGTGGTCGTTTTGATTTGCATTCTGTTTGTGGAAGAAGGGAGGGTTGGATGCAGATTATGAGGCTCTTTTTGGGTTATTTATATTTAAACCGCAATCACAACAACATTGGAAGAATAATAAATGATTAAACCCTTCTCATTGCAGAACGCAGATATTATTCCTACCTCTTTAGTTTTTTTCCAGACATCATATATGTTAAAATAAGATTAAATACCTATTTGATTTTAACTCTAGGGATGTAGAATCATCATTTTCAATCCGATCCAATCTCAAATTTAGTTTAGAAAAGCAACATGTTGATACTTATGTCATAATAACATCCAACAGTAAATTATTGCAAAGTAATTATAATAAAAGGTAACTTTAAATGAGTTGTTGTTTTTTGTTATTTGAATATATCTATAAGAGTTTAGTTTTTTACTAAATCATAATTCAGTAGTTTATTTTGAACAAAAAACAACTTATCTCTACAACTAAAAAGATAATAAATACTGTCTATACCATATAATTTTCTTTTCAATATTAGAAAAAACTATTAAGGTATTTTTTTTTTTTTTCTAGTCTTGACCGGATATTAAAAAATATATATTTTCTTGCTAATTATTGATGTCATCTGCTGCTGTGACTTCTTTATTGTAATAAAATGAAAAAGTCCATCCATCCATCCAGCTGCAGTCCTCTGCCTCCACCCCCAGTGTCACCATTTCACTCTAGATGTGCAGCATCTGCAGAGAAAAGAAGATGTTTTACTACAGCATAAGATGAATAGACATACTTTACCCTCCAACCTTTCCCTCCTTTTATCTGGGTCACATTCGCTCGTCTGGATGGTTGTCATCTCTGTCAGTTTAAGCAATCACACAATCATGTGTGTGCAGGAATTTCCATCAACCCCCCTCCTTTTTACAGCAGATTAAAATTGACTGCCACCCAATTCTGTCACCCCCCCTTCACCTCCTCCTCTCCGTTCTCACCCCTCTGTCCTGTCTCTCATACCACGCTCTTTTTTTTCTGCTTTTTTTTTTTTTCTTTGGGCTCCGCTCACATCCAGATTTTCCGGTTCTGACTTCTGAAAGAGTTCACGGCTCTGTCATTACCAATCTGAAGCTGATAATCTGGTCCGAGATGGCATTAGCGGTGTGGATTAGCGCAGATAAAGGACTCATAAAGCAGCAGTGGCTCTTTGTTAAGAACTACCCCAACTGACAGTGAGCTGAGATAGCGGCACCCAAACCGAGCTGCAGAAAATAATCTAACAGTAATAGATGTGTTTCAGTTGTAATACAGATTTATCTTTGATGGGCAGCAGGTAAAGGGGGGGCTGTGGATGAGCTCGCTTGAGGCTCACTGACTCACGCCCCACTCCACAGCTAAGTGGTTAGTCGTTCTTTTAGTTGGAGATATAAAAAAAAAATCCCTCCACTAATCAACTGCATGTTAATGCCTTTACCTTATGGTACAGAAGATTTGTTTTAGATGAAAACCTCTAAAGTGAACACTTTCTTTTGTTTATCCATTAATAAAAAAAATGTATCCCTTAATGTCATCATCCTGGATTATTCATGCAAAAAAAAAAAAAAATGAAACAGTACGACTAACAGATCTCCTCCCCACCTTCATGTCTGTGTCTCAGCAGACTTGCTGTCTTCGCTGTCTTCAACAGCCTACCTGAACGACCACGAGGCGGTAAGCAAGGCCTTCGCCGAGGCCCGGCAGATGAAGGAGCAGCTGAAGGGGGAGCAGCAGGCCCTCGACGCCAAGCTGGCCTCCGTCAGCAACCTCAGCCTCAACAACGGACGCTCAGACAAGGTGAGGCCCTTTTTCTCTCCTACCGCCGACGAGTGTTTAAAATAACACCTTACCTCTCACATGCAGTCAGCGGGGGATTGAATGTTGTAATTCTTTTCACTTGTGGCAGAATGTCTTGCTTCCAGTGTACATAATTTATTTACTAATATAATGGATTGCCATACATATCTTAATATATTTATATGGTCAGATCAATTCTCAATCTAAAGTGTGTATTTCCTAGAGATGAAAAAAGTGTCCTGAAATACATGCATCCAGTGTTTATAAATACATCAGAAAGATGTTTTCTGCCGTAGGTAAAACAGTAATTGTGGTAGGATTTTTTTATGACATATGATTTGCGCTCAATCATCCAGAGCTCCGTAAAAAAAACAAATATCTTTTATCTTGGCCTCAGAAATTCTGTGACCTAAACGCATAAATCCAGTTGAGTCCTCTGAAGTCATCACAGGCTGTAGCGTCTCATTGTCAGCGTGCAATAATTTGTCTTGCCATATGCCGTCCCAGCCGCACCATGTAGGAGGTAAATCGGCGCACAATGGCCTCGCTAAAATGTGTTGAAGCTAAAGAGGGCCAGATAAGGTAAAAAGCAGAGGCATCTTGGAGGTAATGAGTGCGTCTGTGAGGCACACTGCGGGGCGATGTGTGTGTGCGTGTGTGTGGCACAGCGGAGCGTCAGGGAGATGCTAATGTGAAACGACGGCGTCGGCTCCTCAGCAGCACAGCTGAACTGTGATTATTTGTTCAACCTATTTGGGATCAAAGCAACAATTATTCCTCCTGCCGCCCTATATCTAAATCTATGTATTTATAGGGTATGAAATGCTAATTAATATAGAAACTGATTACTAAATCTAAACTCATTTGATCTTTTTTATTCTATATTTTCTTAAACATTAAAAAAATGTAAAGAAATCAATATTGTTTTCATATACTTATTGCAAATTTTGCTTCGCTTTCTGCTTATTATTGGATAACACCGGTCTAAAATTAGTGAAATTAGATGGATGTAGTGTTTATTATTAAGTTTACAGGGTAAACTAGTAATAAGTCAAAAAGTTTATTATTATTATCATTATTATTATAAATATTATCTTTTAGTTAGCCAACTTTTCAGGGAGGATTGATATGAACAAGTGAGGGAGAAAAACAAAGTCCCTTCTGTACAATTTTAAGTACAGCGGATGATGAATGGGATCGTTGAAAATTTTAATATTTCACAATTTTTAAAAGTTGAGCTTTTCCATTTAAATACAGATGCAAACTAAATGCTTTATATGCATCATGTGTCATATAAAAATGACATGTGAAACAGCTTCGGAGTTTGATCAGAGAGGAAATACCATTATTTACATTTATCACTACAAAAGCGATCTAAAAATAGGCAAACATTTCTTAAATTAAGTGTTTTTAAACTTAATTTGAGTAGATAAGATCATTTATCAATGGAATTAATATTTTACTGCTAAAATAAGATAATTAAATAAAATGCACTGGAAATAAGACAATGCAATTATTTTTTACATGTTAATTGTCTTATTCCATTGGCAAAGTGTCTCATTTACTTAAGAAAAATTAACTTTTTTTTAAAAAGGGCTTATTTTTGCAGTATTCACTTTAAATAAAGATAAAAAAATACTTTTTGCTGCTAAAGTTTATTATAAAATGTTAAAAAAAAAATATTCCCAATGCTTAAAAAAAAAAATTCTATCAGATTTTTCCAAGATATTATTAAACAAAGTGGTAGATTTTAGATGTCTATATAATTTCTCTTATTTCCTCTGCCCCCTTTTGGCTCTGTGCGCTCGGATACAACAGCGTTGTGTCTGACACACCCGGAGGATTAGTTTTGTCACTACTTTGTGTCTCAGCTCCCGTGTCAGCCATTCAATCCACTTTTCCCATGTACTGTACCGGGGCTTAATGTCAGACTAGGCTGTCATCCACTCTGTCTCCCCGTTCATCCCTCCTCACACACACATGCTGCATAAAGCCATCTGAGAGCGCATATTTAATCTTAAAATCTGAACGTGTGAAGGACACTTTGTGCTCCCTGTTTCTGAAACGAGGACTGAATGAGGCATTCATTAGTGCAAAATGAGGGAAAACTCCGAAAATATTTCTGATTTACATACAAAATGACTGAGTAGCTCCGAACCACTGAAGGTTATTATGCATTTATAAAAGCGGAGGAAATTAAAAATAACATACTTTTGAAATGGCTTGCAAAGGAAACATTTAGAGCTGCATGCCACCAGCTTTTATTCTTTCTCTTCCCTTGCTCTATATTTATTCCAATCTGGAGGGAAAATTATCTCTAACAATTAAACTGTATTGGACTAAAAACAGACAAAATGCATTTCATTATCATTCTGCCCTCCCTCCATGCAGCCATCCGGCTCGCCAGGGTCACATGTAAATGGAGGAGGACACTCTCCGGAACGTCGTTTTAGAAGACGGCCGTGTTTTGGGTAGAGCTCCTAATCGTGTAATTAAACCGTAAAACGTTGGCGCTGGTGCCGTGCGGTGTGTGCGTGTCAGCCCAGCTCCAGCGCAGTGTGTGCCGGCTGCTTGCATTAGGCATGTAAATGCTCAGTAAATCAGCCTTTTATTGGTTGTAATAAATACCCAGGGGGCCGCACGGCGTGGCCCCGCTCTCGTCCGCGGCGCACTCTCTCGTGCTCTCTCTCCCTCTAATGCATCGACCCTCGGGGGCATCTGCAAGAGAGGCAAGCCGCCGCTCTCCACTCTCGCAGGTGGCTGCCAGGAGCTGCTACACACACACACACACACCCACGTTTAACCAACGGTGCACGCACTTAACGTTAAATATCTGAATCAGAGTAAAACCCACATTCTTTCACAGGGAAGCGCACTCAGACACAGATGTGTGTTCAAGCCTGCAACATTTTTACATGTCAAGAAGCCATTTTTTTAAAATAGAAATAGGAATTCTGTATATTTTTCATGATTTAACATTCATTCATTGAGTTTCTAAAGACCTTAAAAGCATATACATATGTTTTTCATATGGAAACCACTTGTCAGAAGTGCAGGTTTCGTGTCTCCTTCATTCATTCATGTATTTCCAACTCCAACATATGACTCAGCCACTGACCGACTGCAACTGTTTGTGCCGTTTAGGAGAAAGCTGCCTTGGAGAGTTTGAGTCAGCAGCTGAAGCAGCAGGCCGACGACAAGTTTAGCCACGCCATGCTGGACTTCACCATGAGTGGAGACTCTGACGGTACAACCTCACACACACTCAGAAAAAAAAAACAAGGATGGATGCTCACATTCACAATGCCTCTGAGCATTGAATGGAACAGAAAATTTCATTGAACATTGAATTTAATTAAAAATATCTGTTAAACTAAAATTGAGAAAATCCAAATTTTTTTAAACTTAATATTCTTGATCAGTTTCTGTGAGCTTTTTACATGGAAATTGCTGCCTTTCTTTTTTCTTGAGGCACAAAAAGGTCTGATATCTTGTTGCCATTCTTTAATTAGAAAAGAGAGAACATTAGTAATGTACATAAAAAAAAACCCTGATCAGTCAAGTTTTAATCAACCCCAACTTGGGTAATCCCCATCAGACGTTAATCCAGGTTAATCTCGTAGCATGACGCAGTGAGGATGAAATCTGAAACACTTCCTGTTTGAGAACTGCAGCAAATAATTGTGTTCAATTTTCATGTTAACATGTTAATTGAGGGCGATCCCAAATAAAACCCCTTTTTTTTTTGTCCTGCCATCACAAACAGAAACCTCTAAATTAAGATAGACGTACTGGCCCCTTTGAGGACTGTGTGTGGGCTTTGTATCAAATTCGGGATACATTTGTGGAAAGGCATTTGCTCTCTTTTAAGTATGGAGGTAGATCTATCATGCTGTGGGACTGCTTATATGTCAGAGGCTTTGGGGATGTTATGAGTTAGCATGACATTGTGAATGTTTAAACTTTTAAATAGCCAGTACCAGAAAAAAGAAAAGTTTATCTTAGTTTTCAGACTTTTAGAGAACCTGTGAGGTGAACCAGAGAGGTTTAGTAGGCTCTATGGAATGCAACGAGGAATGGTCTCTGTATTTCAACACTTATGCTACTGCTATTAAAGGTCATAACTTTAGACACAATCTTTAGATTTTCACTGGTCTCATCTGCATTTCTTATAGAACTGCATTTTCTCTTCTTGATCTGTTTCTTTCTCCCTCCTGATCCTCCTCAGGGTCCCCCAGCGTGTCAGACTCCAGAATATTTCGGGAAACCCGCGGCCGGAACAACAACGAGCCGCACATCAAGCGGCCGATGAACGCCTTCATGGTTTGGGCCAAAGACGAGAGGCGGAAGATCCTCCAGGCGTTCCCAGACATGCACAACTCCAACATCAGCAAGATTCTCGGTAAACCCACACACTTCTACAACTCCAGGCCCTCACCATGTCTTTGTCATACAAGCCTCCTGTCCGTCTCAGAAAAGGCGCATTACAAACTAATGCCGATTTCTTACTACGGCGGAGTTTATGTAAGCGGGTGTTAATGAAAGGCTGGGGGAAGCACAGCCACGACAAATGATGATATAATTCATTATGCATTAAACAAGCAGCGCGAGGCCGCCTGACATTTCCCCCAGACCGCTGGGATCGGCCCTGACATTTTAAAGAGCTCCTAAGCGTTTTATAACACAGGGAAATCTGGTTTTAATAAGCCTCCGCGCTCTCGATTGCTAACAGATCGCAGAACACAGAGAGAGAGAGAAAAAAAGAGAGAGAGGGGGAGAGAGCAGCCTAGCACTGACAGCTTTTACCCATTAAACATACAGTAGTCGAGTGCAAATTCAGACCAGATATGAAGCGCACACACAGCGGAAAGACATGCACAAGATTTTCCCCGACATACACATATGACGGTACAGATCTGTGAGCAGGAACCGAGCTGAGAGATGACAGCAGGTTAAGTGAAGTCCTCATTAGTTGAGATGAGTACCTGTCGTCCCAGCGGTGCTCCTCATTAACCCTCTTTTGCTCTCTATTGCGTTTTCTTTCCGGGTGCCACTTCCAGCATCGTGTGTGTGTGTGTGTGTTAAGCGCAGCCTCGCGTGTTTCACTTTAGACGGTTTGCTGAGCGTCCGACGCAGCGCATCATTCAGTGTGGCTGATCTGCACGCAGATGCTCATGTTGTTTTTCAAAGAAATGTGTCAGAAGTGGTAATCAGTAATTAGATCTAGAGCTATGAAAGAAAAGCCCTTTGTTGGGTTTTTTTTTTTTTCCAAGAGAAGCGGTTCATAACCACTGGTTCCCATGTGTGTCCAGGCTCGAGGTGGAAAGCCATGACCAACCTGGAGAAGCAGCCGTACTACGAGGAGCAGGCTCGCCTCAGCAAACAACATCTGGAGAAATACCCGGACTACAAGTATAAACCTCGGCCCAAACGCACCTGCCTGGTGGACGGCAAGAAGCTGCGCATCGGCGAGTACAAGGCCATCATGAGGTCCCGCAGGCAGGAGATGAGACAATACTTCAGCGTAGGGTGAGGGACTGGGTAGTTTTAGGTTGAGGAGGATTTTGTTTGTCTTTTAAATAAATAAATGAGAAAAAAAATATATATATATATAAAACTTTTTGCATCATTCTATTTCTGCTCTAAAAGCAGAGACTGAATGTTTTTAATGAGCATTTTTCTCAAAAATTACTTTTTTCCTTTCCTCACTGATGCACTTTAATAATTGGCTGGTAACTAATAAGAGGTTTTTAAACTTAACCAGCCTGTGGGACCTTTTAAGATCAGTGAACGTAACAATACCTAACCGTTACCACCACCAACACTCTTCAGTGAGGAAGGTGTAAGAAGGGAGCAAGCTTTCTTAGCTATTTTTCAGTGAGGTGTTAAAAAAAGGAAGTTAGATCGAGAACAAAATGTGCTTCAAGGTAAAACATGTAGAAGAAAAACATTTTGAATGCAGTCGGAGAGAATGTGTAATTAACTGATGTTAATTTTAGTGGATCGAAGCTTTAAAACAGATGGTGAGGTCCTTTTAAATTTCAATTGAAACAAACCGACTGAGATCTGCTAAGCAAATTGTCCAAATAGGTCCAAATAATTTTTGAATATAATGACAAATTTCAACATTACAAAACAATATAATCATTGTTCTTTATTATAGAAACATATCTACCTCTTAAAACCATAAAATAGACATTTTTTATGGTTTCTAGACATTATAAAAAATGGTTATATAAATGTCTTTTAAATACAAAATACATCCGTACAACTTTTAATTGAAAAGACTGACAAAGGGTCAATGATCCCTTAATGCAGATGCTACATTTAGCATTGTTAGCGGCTAACGGCTAGTCTAGATATTCTAACTTTGCTTTAAAGTCATTCATATATTGTTAATATTTAAAAGCAAATACATTTTATGTTTTATTCCATTAATGTAAATGCGGAAAACTCTCAATGTTTCTCTTTTGTAAGTAATATAAGGATGTAATAGTCTCTTATCGGAGCTCTAATGATGGTAACTCGTCAAAGCTTGGTAGAAATAATAATGTGAAGAGTTATTATTATTAAACAGGCCTGGGGTTTAATGCTGCTATAAATGTTTAGGTAGCAATTAACCCTTAAAATAACAGTCTGGGGCTGATAATGCTCGTTTATGTTTACTCCCCCAAACTGAATCACGTGCTGAAACAATCTAGATACCGCTTTATTGGACAGGTTTTACTGTAAAGAGAAGTATTTAAGCATGTAGATATTGAAACGTGTAGTAATCCTCCTAACTGGACTCTGTGTTTCTGCATACAGGCAGCAGGGCCAGCTGCCCTTATCCTCAGCAGGCATGGTCTACCCAGGTGCCCTTTCCATGGCAGGGATGCCCTCCCCCCAGATGCCCTCAGAGCACTCGAGCATGTCCAGCAGCCCCGAGCCCAACGCCAACCACCAGAACCCCCACATGCCTGAAGGACTGAAGGGGGACGAGCCACGGATCAAGGAGGAAGAACTGCGGCTAGACGACAGCAACGGTGATGTGTACGACGATTTCGACTACGAGGACGAAGAGGCCGACTACACCAGCGATAACGAGAACCACATCACCCATTAAGGGGGCGCCAGTGACTGCTGGTAAATCTTTAAGGATTCTAAACTCATCAGTCAGGAAGAGGAGTTTGTATTTTGCCAATCACCTCAAGTTTAAAAAATAAAAACACCTCCCACCCTCTCTTCTCCTGGCTAACATGGACTCTCTGACCAGAGCCAAACCCCCTCTCCTCCCACTGGAGTCCTGATACCAGCATCGGATCAATTAATGGAAGCACAGGACCTGTCACTCACACTGACTGTTACACATGCTGGAGTCTGGGAGGAAGCCAGTTTAAAGCTCACTGAGGAATATTCAAGTACTACTGCAAGAGTGTAATGCCACAAGTGAGGAGACATTTATAAAAATCAACCCTTTTCGCTCCCATTTGGAGAAAAGGAGACATTTTAAACTGAAACACTAAACAGCGGACCTGTCAAAAGGCTAACAGAAGACACTTTAGGATGGCGGACCTGTTTATTATCAAGAGACACTTTTAAGAAACAGCTTTTTTTGTTCTTTGGTTCTATAATATTCTCACTCAGGTACACGGTGCCAATAAGTGGCTTGTGAATGTGATTTGTTGTTTTTGTGCTACAAGTTTGGATAATAATAGAAAAAAGAGACTTCTTTTTTCCCCTTTTGTTGTAAAGCACCTAAAACACATCAGACCTTTATTTTTAACTGAATCTCCAGCCTTGCAGCGTGCTGTCGGCGCCTCCACCTGCCTCTCTTTCTCCCCCCCCCTTCCCTTCAGAGATGAGGCGACGGGAGGGGGGGCATGGGCACCCGAACAGGGGCGCCCCCCGGAGCGAAATCGAAAGCACTGTGTTTGTGAGACAATCCACGAGTTTTCTTCTCGCTCCATCTCTCCTGTCTGCGTCTCCATATCATCTATTTTTTAAAAAGCTGAAATATCCGACAGGTGTGGGTCAGTGTGTGTCGTTTACAGCACTTTTTTATTTTTTTTTTATTTTAGAGCAAATGAAAGGAGCTAAAACAAAATCTTGAAGAATAAGAAACTTGTTCTGCTGCTGTTAATGCGCTGTAACACACACACCGTCTCGCTCACACACACACAAAAAAGCTATTGTTGCGTCTTTTAAGTGTTTCCCTGCTCCCTCCAATCAACGTCGTCCTGCTGTAACCCAGTGGGTGGAGCCGGAGAGCAGTCAGCCAGTCAGTGTTTCTGTATTTTATTATTATTTTTCTTTAAAACTGCCTCTAGTCTAATAATATTATTAACCATAATTAAGAGGATGGTCAGCGTTTCCTGAGTTTAGTAAGTTATGTACAGTATAATTTATTTTTTTCTCCTTTATCAGGTTTTTGTGGCCGTGCGAAACGGCCGCTGAAACATTATTCTATTTAGCGGGTATGTATTTAGATTTAAGCAGAAGTTGTTCTTTTACCCTGCTTTGTTTTTGTTATGTTTGTCTTTTTTTTTTCCTCCTCCCCCCTTAATCTGTTCGATTTGTATTAACCCTTCGGATGGATGTGCGACGGAGTTAGGACCGCAAACTTCTCCTTTTTAACGTCCATGCCCATTTCTAAGAAGCACTCAGACTCTCTGCAGTCAGAGAAAAAGAAGAACATTAATATTTTTTATTATCGTTATAATTTTATTTGCATTTTTCACCATGTACAATGTGAAGGTTTCCTCTTTTCATTTGATTCTCTTGTGCTTTGAAAATGATTTGAAGGATTTCTGTGAACACAGAGAGCCGTCCCTGTTTACTAGCTCAGCCGCCTCATGGAAACGCAGTGAAGCAACATCTGCTTGGATCCTTGCACATACAGCCCCAATCAGTCGTTAAAATGCTCTTCATCAGCATGAATGTCATGTCAGTTTTCAGCTTTTGATCACACATTTGGATCATTTTTTTCATTTGATTGAATTAAACAAAAAAAAATAGCTTTTAAAACACCTATTTATTGAAGTTTTTCCTCCATTTAAAAGGGTGGAAATGTGCCTCACCTCCTAAATGTTCTTTAGTTGGTTGAAGCTTAACCATAAGAATGTTTAATCCCTGTTCCTCTGGGAGACAGCATTTAAAATACTTAGTTTGCCACCATAAAGACGGCACTAAGGTTTGGTCCCAATATTTTAATTTAAATAAAGTTGAATTCATCCTGCAAATCTAACCTTAGTCTGTTTTTTTTTCTGTCTGGGATCTTTCTGTAACCAACAAGCAGTTGATTTGAGATAAATGAAAGTCTCTGTGGGTATTTCTAAAGTTTTAGGACATCTATTGTGGCTTCAAACCCTCCAAGTTCATGTGGATATGTGATCTACCCCACTCCATCTCTTGAACCTTAACTTGAACGTGACCATTTTTCATTTCATCCTAGTTCACCAGGAAAATGATCCCAGACTTTCATCAGAACTAGTTTTATCCTAAAACTATGTACCGCTATCTTCCCTTTTTATCTGTATTAAAGATATGAGGACTATCCCTGAAACCCACATGTATGTATTTTTTCTTAAATCTGCACAAATTCCAAACTTCTTTAGCTAGTTCTTCTTTTTTTTAAGTTAATGATGTTATTTTCAAACACGAATCCCCTGAAAAAAAAAAAACATGCATCTTAATGCATCCAATCAGACATTCATATTGATTATACTAAAACTTAAAATTGTTGCAACTAAACAAATCATATGCTGTTGTTTTAAATACATAAAAAGCTTTTTTTTCTTTAGTAATAGAAGTGTTTTTTTGTCATGGTGATAGAAGAGCAGTGTTTCACTGAGTTTGGTTGTGAGGCGGCTCTGCAGTATGTTTAACATTTCTCATCAGGAGCCCTTTGCTTTGTTTGAGCTCCACACGACGCTACAGGAGCCATGACTACTCTTCAGGTGTGACATCACTTAGTGATCCCCAATCTTTTTTATCACTATATAAATGTTCCACATAAAAAGCGCCTAGGTCTTAATTGTGCTGTAAAGTCAACCCTTTTTTTTTATTTTTTTATCGCCACATTGATGCTGGAGAGAGGAATCAGGAGAGCATGTGGGGCATTAAAGACATCAATCATCCCTGCTGGCAAGGTCTGTCCCTATATCAAGACAATGAAAATGATATTATTTAAGACAATCAGTCACGAGTGGAGCTCAAAACAAAGTAATTATTACAAACAAAAACTATCTTACCATCTCAACTTGAAAAATCAAGAAAGATAATTATGTAAATATAACATAGAGTTATAGATTTATATTTTGTTCATAACACAGTGTAATATAAGTTGTATATTTCTTTTTTTTTCTCTCTCTCTCTCTCCCTATTGTCTCTTTTATTGATGTTTATCCATGCCACAGAAAAGCAAGAGTCACAGCACTCTCACACAAAAAAATGACGAAAAAATATCAAAGAAATAAAGAAAAACAGGAAAAAAAATCCGTGGGCTGCCACCACCATCTGTTCTAAGTTCACTTTTTTTCAGTATTACTGCCAGACAAGGCTCTAATAAAGACAGCAATGTGTTGAGTAAACTTGTGCTTGTCCTACTCATTTATCCCCCCCCCCAAAAAAAAAAACAAAATTTTTTTTTTCATACAGGTTTACATACATGCGTACTTTCTACATTTCAAAGCACATGAAAATATATTTCCACATGACATTTAATTTGGGTTGTTCAGAATTTCTCTCCTGTAAAACAATGCGGGCCATCACACAGGGGGCTGAGTAATTCAATCATCTCCATAACAACATGTTAATTATGCTAAGTCCACCTTCGTGCACCTCCAATCAGAGGGCCAGCTGCAAGGCGCAGAGAAGAATCATGGATCGTTAGCAACCCGGTAACCTAATTAAGCACAATGAGGGAAGAGAAAGGAGTAAAAGAAGGGGGGGGTGGGAGAGGGGAGGGGGAAGGAGACATTTTTAGAGTCAAGACAAACTTTATTGTCATTTTGTATACACAGAGTGTATGCAAAACAAAATGACGTTGCTTACAGCTTCCAACAGTGAAATGAACATTAGCGTTTAAAATGCAGCAGGGATCATCATGTAAACACTATAGGAGAAAAGGAAAACCAGTTAAAAAAAATAATGGTGCAAAAAGGGCGTTCACACTGCAAAAAATGTAAATCTATAGTAAGTTTTTCTTAAAATAAGTGCATTTTTTCGTGAATTGAGGAGGTAAATGAGACACTTTGCCAAAGGAACAAGACAATTTACATTTAAAATACGAAAAAGCAATTGCATTGTCTTATTTCAAGTGCATATTATCTAATTAACTTATTTTAAGTGTAAAAATAGTCATTCCATTGGCAAACTCTTATTTACCTGCTCAAATTAAGGGAAAATACAGTTGATTTAAGAAATTTTACTTAATTTCAGATTGTTTTTGCAGTGCATTAGAAAGGTTTGGTGCAGTGCAATATGGTGCAAAATGCAGTATGACATTGAGTTGTGTCATATTTTAAAGGATTATAAAACTTTCAGACACGTTGGTGGTGCAAAATAATATTCCATGTGTGATGCATAGTCCAGTTTAACAGTTCAACATGCAGCGGGTGAAAAGCTATTGCAGAACCTGATGGGCCTGCAGCGAATGCTGATAAAACCCCTAAAAAAAAGAAAAAAAAGATTTACTTCCCACTAAACTAGTGTCACCTGTTTAAAAAAAAAGCATATGTATAATAGATGCATGCTTATGGACGTTGAGGATGTTCCTGCCTCCATTTTCAGGGGTTAGAAACACCAAACCCCACTCAGTGTGCCCATTAAAATGCTGTCCCCCATCTGTGTCCATATGTTCCGCAATCAACCCCCACAGCCCTGCCTGACGCTCGGCGCATAAAAACAAGCTAAATGCACTCCAAGGACGAGATTTTATGTGCTTTGTTAATTACCATAACTTCACAGACGTGCACACTCAAAAAAAAAAAAACCTTTTGATGCAATAAAGAGGCAAGATGGGGGCAGATTAAAAAAACTCAGAATAATACAGTAAGCGAAGGACTCTGTTAGTCTAGGTTATGTTAATATTTTACAGGCGGCCCAAAGGGGAAAACCTGAGAAAAAGGTTTGTGTGGGAATAGCTGAGGAGTAAAAAAAGGAGTATGGATATTCTTTTATTCTTTATTGTCAGCAGTATGGGAACGCTGAAGGAAGCAAACAGTGGTTAGACCCTGATTTAAATCACACACACCCTAAGGTGGCCTGTTGGACCTAGCTCAGCTAAAAACATTTTTTCAGGCTTTTTTTTTATCACGATACACACCAAAAACTGAAAACTACCACAAAGGGTGTTTTTATTCTACATTAGAACATTTAAGCTGAACTTTTTTTCTGCAAATGTAACCAGCACAGAAGAGTTAAACACTCATTCCCACTCTCAACAGCATGCTCTGAGAGCAGCCAACTCTGCCTGCATCGGCTCGGTGAAATATGTCGAGGGTTGTTTTTTTGTACTTTCATCCGGGGGTGTTTGGAAATTGAGTGAAAACGATGTCACATTAATGATTTAAAGTCGGTAATAGGATGTGCTGTGACGCTGAGCCGCCAGCTAAACTGAGTTAAGGCTGCAGCGTTAATGTATTCATGAGGAGGAGGATTATACAGAGACAAGAGCAGCTAGAGCTGAGTGCAGCACAGGGGCCAAGGCCAAAAGGCCTTCTAGATCATTATATATATATATCTATACATACTGTATAGATATATATATATATATATATATATATAGATATATATATATATAGATATATATATAGATATAGATATATATATCTATATATATATCTATATAGATATAGATATAGATATATAGATATGTATGCATGTTTTAAAATTTACTTCTAAATGGATCAAGATCATAACAGTTGGGACTCAACTTACACAAAATACAGAGGGGATAATAAAAGAATAATAAGGAATTTATAAATTTATTTATTATTAAAAATAACTAAGAATCAGATCTTGAGAAGCAGTAAAAATATTTATGCTGAATTGTAAAAAAATCTGATTTTCTTTATATTTACTGTGATTATGATTTTGTGTGCAAACATTGCATTCTCTGGATGACTCTAGTTGCAAACTGTTCCGAAAACATTTCAAAGAAATTAATTCTTGCCTCTAACTGGGATATTAGTACGAATGTGTGTTTTTCTCCAAGCAGTTCTCTCTTTTTCTTTCATCTTTGATTCTGGCAGCTCTGCTAATCCCTGGACCGCCGTACGATCGCATACACAAACTGCAGCATCACTAGAACCTAAAATCAGTGTTAAAGCAAAGGGAAAGATTCTAGCAATTATGAAAGACTTTTTTTTTTCCTGTTATATTTCATCACTTATTTGTTTTTATTATGTTAAAATTGGAGCGAGGAGTTTTAAGGTTGTTTCTTATGCATTAAAATTTTGGAGAATTAAATCTAAATTTTAAGTTATTTTAAAATACTTTTGCAGCTTGTTGTTTTATTTTGTTTTCTTTTTTTATAGTGTGTTTTTAATAGAGGTCATTTAATGTAAAGATTTGGTTTCCTCCTGGAATAAAATTGCAGTTGTTCTTGGAGCATAGAAACGTTTGGTCTATTTTAATATATAGACAGAGCCGGTCCAAAACTATACAGGGCCCTGTGCATTTTTATGCATTTTAGTTGGGGGGGCATTTCATCTACCTTCAGTCCCTAAATCTCTACTAATACTTTCGCTTCACTATCCATGTTAAATGTTTATGTATCTAATATAAACTTGTTTATGATGGACAAATAGAAAGGATTGCCAAATGCACAGCATTACTTATATTCAACTCAGTGTATGTAAAAACAGAAAAGCAATGTTAGTTATTCCTATTACTGCTAAAATCACAGTATTATACATAATTATTATTAGTTTGATTTTTATACCTATATTTATGAAACTGGAATATATTTAGTAAGTCTGTAGGTTTTTGTTGAGACAAACTTTATAGTAAAATTATAGTTATAGTTAAATTATAAATTCTGCTCTTTCATAAGGAAAACATACCAACCAGAGTTTGCTTATTCATTAGTCAGTCTATCTGCAGCTGTTTCTTTAACAGCTGTTTGGGTTTTTACCTTAATGAGACTGATGGGTGTCCCTCTTTTAGTTTCTACACATTTTTTTTTTTTTTAAGTTTCCTTTGCCTTTTTCTAACATAGCCCAGCTTAAAGTCAGTGTGCAGCAACAGGTTTGGGAGGGGCTCTGTGGTTGCGATATTGAGCATACACAGTTATTTCCTCTGGCTTCCAATAGGAAGGATTTTAAGTTTTTTATATAAAAAATGTGTCCTTATATAAGCAAATTTTCTTATTACTTTTTTCTTCCACCAAATTTGTGGTAATTAGAACACTTTCACATCAATTCGTTTACAAAGTTTTCGTAATATATATTAACTTTAGATTCTGTGTGCACTTCAAGAGCTTTGGAAAAAATTCTGGAAGAAAAGAGATTTCCAATTACAAACCAAACAAAACATCAGGAAATCTATAAAGTAACGCTCAGAAAAGGCTCTAGATTTTATTGCTATTCTACGCTTCCTCTAAACTAAAAAACCTGAACAACAGAGAACACGCTTTTGGAATTAAAACGTACAAATTACACTACAATCATAATTAGGAAATATTTTATATATTTTAGTTAAGCATATATATTTTTTTTGTTTTGCATCTTTTTTTGTACAGCAACTCTAGTTTCCTTTGGAGACCCCTTTTGGTTTGGAGGATTAAAAACAATGGCGTTTAGCTTTACGTTCAGCTGGCTGTAGATGCCGCTCAGGTTTTGGTGAGTGAAACAGACGCCAAACCAGCAGCAGCGTTTGAGTAGCGGCCCTAATGTGACAGATCTGGGAGCGGCAGCTTATGAGGGACAGGCGTGGCACACCGGTGGAACAGCGAGGCCTGCAGGCTGATCCCTGATTGGCGCAGGGAAACTGGCTCCATGCCCCAGACATGTCGTCTCGCCCTCAGGTCTTTCTTAGCAGGCTGCATCAGCAGCAGCAGCTGGCCTGGTTTCACCCATCTTTTGCTGTCTGGTTTCATCAAAATATATGAACTTTATTACAGTTTGTCAATCTGAAGCTCCCTGCTGGGATTATGTTTTGTTCTCTCCATCAAAGTACCTTAATTTCTGCTTTAATAAGATTTTTTTTTTTCCTCTGGATGTTTCACTGTGATCCAAGTCATCTGGAATTAAACAATTTCTACATGTTTATAGACATGTCTATAATCATTTATATATGATGACGGAATCACTTTGCCTCATACTTTAGATGACTTGGAAGATGTGTAAGTATTGGCATTTATAAAACAAAAAACAACAAACACAAAATAAACACGATCAAAACCTAAATTAACACAGTTGAAGTGATTTGATTCGATCATCAGATGTTGGCGTGTAGGTGGGCTGCAGAACTTTTCACAGTTAACTTGAAGCGGAGCTCGCAGAGCAGCAAATCAAACGCGATGAAACAGCCTGTGGGCGCTTTAACGTCATTTCATGAAATATAGATTTTTTTATTTTTTTTTTTG